TTATTGCAAAGATTCTAGAAAGAATTGTGTCCAAACAGCTGCTCACTGTGCTGGAAAATAACAAAATATTTGAAAAGTTTCAGTCTGGTTTGAGGAAGTACCACAGCACTGAGACTGCCCTGCTTAAAGTCACCAATGACCTTTTAATGTCTGCTGATGAAGGCATGTGCTCAGTCCTGGTACTCCTGGACCTTAGCGCTGCTTTTGACACCATTGATCACAACATCATGTTAGACAGACTGAGGCACTGGGTGGGGATCTCTGGTACTGCCCTAGAATGGTTTTCATCCTACCTGTCAAATAGGAAGTTTTGCGTGTCTGTAAACAACTATGTCTCTTCATTCTGTCCAGTTAAATATGGTGTGTCTCAGGGGTCGGTCTTAGGACCCATTTTGTTTTCCTTGTATCTGCTTCCCCTTGGACATATTATCCATAAACATGGCATTTCTTTTCATATTTATGCTGATGACACACAAATATACTTGCCCGTCAGATCCACAGACCCTGGAATGCTGAGTTCACTTAACAACTGCCTTTGTGAAGTTAAAAAATGGATGTCAAATAATTTCCTCCAGCCTCCAACTTTAAAATTCTATTGATCACTTTTAAAGCTCTTCATGGCCTCTCGCCTTGTTATATTTCTGACCTTTTAGTCCCATACGCACCAGCACGTACCTTGAGATCCTCGGGCAGAGGTCTGTTGTCTGTTCCAGAGTCTCGACTGAAAACTAAAGGGGACAGAGCGTTTGCTGTCAGGGCCCCGAGGCTCTGGAACAGCCTGCCCGAGGAAATCAGGTCGGCTGAGTCAGTGAACTCTTTTAAGTCCCTTCTTAAAACATACTTTTATAGGAGAGCTTTTCCCGATCTTATTTGACTTTATTTTATCCCTTTTATTTTATTCTATTTTACTAATTTTATATTTATCTTAAACGTGTATTTTAGTCTTTTCAATGTTTTCTTGCTTTTATCTTGTATTGTCTCTTGGGTATTATTGTCTTTACACTTGTTAAAGAACTTTGTAACTTGTTTTTGAAAAGTGCTCTACAAATAAAGATGATTATATAAAGGCAGCCCTGCTAGTAGTAACACCACGTCCCTTAATATATCTGTAACTTTACAGCATTAAACGGCACTTTCCTCCTGCCTTTACTTTATCTCAGCTCTGCCTTTTCTCATTCTCTCGTTCTCCTGTGCATTTTTTCACGCACACTGACGCACTGACTGAACTGTGACCAGTCGCGTGTGATGACAGAGATCATAGCATCAGGTTAAAAGCAGACGGGAGGCTGACGGTCTGAGGGACTGTGGCTGCCCTGTGACAGATTCAACTTTTATATTGTCGTTTGACAAAAGTCTGGATTTCATTTTTGGCGTGTGCACTCTCGCGAGAGAGGTGAGAGTGGGATGTTGTGTGGATTTGTGTGATATTAAAAAAGCTCGCTGTGTCATCGCTGCCGCTGATTAAGTTGATAATTAACAGCAGGCCGAAAGTTCTCTTGGTCCGAGGGCCAGTTTAATTTCCACAGCATCTTGTTTACGGTGTCGTTCGTCAATGCGCGAGACAATAAGCTTCACTAATGGACCAATGAGCAAACACGATGTGCAGCTAGTACTCATGGGAGTTGTAGTGTCTCATTGCAATTCGTTTTTTTTTATTTCTTTGACAAGACTACAATTTTTCAACACGCCAAAGTGGCGAGTGGGAGTGACTGTGACCCGGCACGGGAGAAATCACCTGCATTTGGCGGGTGTTAATGTGAAGCACGAGTGGCAACAAATTTAGTTTAATTTGTTAAACTGTGGAAGTTTTCAGCAAAAACCTGCGTCCTCCCTCGATGGGGATCGTCTAAATATGTGAAAACTGCTGTTGGCCCACCGTCTGAGAGGGTCCAAGTCTGAACCAGAGGGTCAGACCCCCGTGATTCAAACCATGTAATAAAATAAATACACAAACGTGCAGCAGATAGAACATGAATATATTACTGAACAGTTATTTTATATTATAATTAATGTTGAAGTGATGATGATGTTGAACCAGCAGGGGGCGTGTCGGATCCTTCTCTGTTCAACATCTCTGCTGCTTAGCAACAGATGACACAACCAGCAGCTGAGCTGACTGTAAATAAACTGCTGGACCAGATTTATGAAGATCAGTAAGAAGTTTGATGTCAGATTATTCAGATTATATCTGGACATATAATCAGTCAGATTAGAGATGAACTAAAGTTTTAGTGAGTAAAAGCCCTGATGGACCAGCAGGGGGCGTCTGAGCTCCTCCTCTCTGCTGCTGTTCTCAACCAGCTGCTGCTGCCGGAGACTGATGACTCAGCAGCGCTGTTTCTGATTGGCTGCTGAGCGAACAGGAACTGAAAGTAAAGAGTCGGGATTTTCCAGAGAAGCTGCGTTCAGGTTTCTGATGGTAAACAGAGAACAAGGAACCCAAACGATGCTGCTGCTCAGGGTGATCACATGACTGCTGACAACAACAACACTCACAGCGTCACTGTCCTGCAGGGAGACAACTCACCTTTACCTGCTCACCTTTACCTGCAGGATAATAATAACCTTTGTTTGCACAGCACCTTTACAGACGACACAACAGACGAACTGGTGATAACATGCAGAGTTCACAGGTAACACGTGAAGGAAAATAAAAGCTCATTTCTACAGCGGTTTGTCAGCTGACCTTTAGTCACGTAGTGCACGCCATCGTTCTGCTCACGTCATTTGTCTAACGGTATCAGGTTGTGACCGTTAGCTGACCTGCATTAGTTACTGATCAGCTTCAGCTCTGGTAACAGTCAGATAAACAACATGTTAGTGGTTTCAGGAAATGAGCTGGTGCAGCTACAAACTGTTTTAGCATTCTGGATAACAATTTCACAAACTCCATCACCAGACAGACGCCATAACGTCCATGTTGGTTCCACATTACGACTCAAAGCTCCTGAACACACCGAAGTCTGAAGAACAGCTTCCAAACAAGGGAAAGGGACCATCTGAGGAGCACTTGAACGCACCATCTGATCTGTAGGAGTGTCATCCACCTGTAGGACCCTCCTCCTCCTCCTCTCTCTGCTGCTGTTCTACAAGCTGCTGCTCCTGGTGACTGATGACTCATCAGCAGCTCTGTTTTTGATTGGCTGCTGAAGAAGAAGTAAAAGTAAAGAATCGGGACTTTCCAGAGACGCTGCGTTCACCTGAAGGCATCATGTGGTCAGACTGGTTTTGGTGGTGAACAGTTCAGCAGACAAACTGGTTTCACAGTGAAGAGAAATCTGTTTTCTGTCTGCAGCTGCTTTTATTATCAGCTTTCTATCATCAAACACAAACTGATCAGCTGATCGATCACTTTATTTCTTCCTGACAGGCAGCAGAGACACAAACAGGATGTGTAAAAAAAACTGATGAATAAACCTTTTTCATTTTATTTAAAAACTCTGGTTATTGATCACTTCAGATTGTATTTTATTTGTTTTCTGTTGATTATTCTCCCACAATGCACTGCTCAGAGGAAACATTACACAGGAGGTTATGTTTTTTATTTATATAATAGCCTATACATCTGGTTGGTCTTGGTGAATTTTGTCTCTAATAGCTAGAATTTTATCATTAAAGAAGCTCATGAAGTCGTAACTACTGAGAGCTATGGGAATACTTGGCTCAATAGAGCTGTGACTCTCTGTCAGCCTGGCTACAGTGCTGAAAAGAAACCTGGGGTTGTTCCTATTTTCCTCTATTAATGACGAGTAGTACGCTGCTCTGGCATTACGGAGGGCCTTCCTATAAGTTTTAAGACTATCTTGCCAAATTAAACGAGAATTTTCCAGTTTGGTGGAACGCCAATTCCTCTCAAGTTTCTGCAATATTTGCTTTAATTTGCGAGTTTCAGTATTATACCATGGAGCTAACCGTCTTTGTTTTAGTATTTTCTTTTTTAGACGGGCTACAGAGTCGAGTGTCATTCGCAGCGAGCCTGCAGCACTATCAACAAGATGATCGATTTGGGAGGGACTGAAATTAGCATAGGAGTCCTCCGTTACTTTGTGACTAGATAATGTATTTAGAGCTGATGGAATCGCATCCTTAAATTTAGCTACAGCACTATCAGACAGACATCTTGTATAGAAATTTTTGCCCAATGGCGAGTAGTTCAGCAATACAAACTCAAAAGTTATCAAAGTACAAGTACTGCATTCAGACTTTACTTCAGTAAAAGTACTAATACCTCACTGTGAACACACTCTGGTACCAAAGTACAAGTACTGCATTCAGACTTTACTTCAGTAAAAGTACTAATACCTCACTGTGAACACACTCTGGTACCAAAGTACAAGTACTGCATTCAGACTTTACTTCAGTAAAAGTACTAATACCTCACTGTGAACACACTCTGGTACCAAAGTACAAGTACTGCATTCAGACTTTACTTCAGTAAAAGTACTAATACCTCACTGTGAACATACTCTGGTACCAAAGTACACGTACTGCATTCAGACTTTACTTCAGTAAAAGTACTAATACCTCACTGTGAACACACTCTGGTACCAAAGTACAAGTACTGCATTCAGACTTTACTTCAGTAAAAGTACTAATACCTCACTGTGAACACACTCTGGTACCAAAGTACAAGTACTGCATTCAGACTTTACTTCAGTAAAAGTACTAATACCTCACTGGGAACACACTCTGGTACCAAAGTACAAGTACTGCATTCAGACTTTACTTCAGTAAAAGTACTAATACCACACTGGGAACACACTCTGGTACCAAAGTACAAGTACTGCATTCAGACTTTACTTCAGTAAAAGTACTAATACCTCACTGTGAACATACTCTGGTACCAAAGTACAAGTACTGCATTCAGACTTTACTTACTCTACCTGGTTACTGATGACATCATGTGATCTCTGCTTTCTGATTGGCTGAGAGTCTCAGACGGGTTCAGGTCTACAGAGAGTCTCGGACAGGTTCAGGTCTACAGAGAGTCTCAGACAGGTTCAGGTCTACAGAGAGTCTCAGGCAGGTTCAGGTCTACAGAGAGTCTCAGGCAGGTTCAGGTCTACAGAGAGTCTCAGACGGGTTCAGGTCTACAGAGAGTCTCGGACAGGTTCAGGTCTACAGAGAGTCTCAGGTCTACAGAGAGCCTCAGACTGGTTCAGGTCTCCAGAGAGTCTCAGACAGGTTCAGGTCTACAGAGAGTCTCAGACTGGTTCAGGTCTACAGAGAGCTGTGATGATGATGAAGATGATGAAGGTCCTGGTCCTCGGTCTCTCCTGGGTCCTCTGGGTCTCAGCTGACGGTAAGTTTCATGTTTCAGATTTAAACTCTGAGGCTTCAGATCAAACAGACAGCTGATCCTCCTGGTCCTGGTCTCTCTTCAGGTCTACATGAGGACATTGCTATCACTGGCTGTTCAGACTCTGATGGAGAGTTCATGTATGGTCTGGATGGTGAAGAGGTTTGGGTCGCAGACTTCATCAACAAGAGAGGAGTCGACACTCAGCCCCCCTTTGTAGATCATGTGAGCTATGTGGAAGGAGCTTATGAATCTGCTGAGGCTGATCAACAGGTCTGCAGATTTAACCTGGGAATAGCACGTAAAGGCAACAAGGACGTTCCCCTGGAGAACGGTAAACACAAACTCATCTTGGTCTCTTTAACTTCTTCAGCTGTTTAAACTGACAGTCTCACAAACTAAATGTCTTTCTGTCATAAATATAAAAACTAAACAGATACACAAATATACTATTAAAAATGTTTTATTGAATATTTAAAGGATTTTACATATTTATTGTTATTTAAAGGATGTCTGTGTGTGCGCTATATGGAAAGTTATTATAGTTCTTGAGTGTAAGTTTGAAACAAAAGTGAAAGTTTGAAATAATAAGTTGTTAATACTTCATAGTTCTTTACAATGGGACTGAGAAAGTTTACTGATCTCAAAGGACAGTCAAATCTCAAAATCACGATTATTACCATGATTACTGATTGACTTAGGAAACATTAATTGAACTTTTCAGTTCAATTTCTTTTTTACACCAACAACTTGCACAGTGAATAGCTTAGTAGAATCAGAAGAAGAATCAGAAGGAGCTTTATTGCTAAATAGTGTTTTACACATACGAGGAATTTGCTGTGGTGATGAGGTGCTACAGGTAGACAAACATACAGTCAACATAAATAAATGTGGAAATATATAAATATGGAATAGAAGAACAACAGATACATACATGTGCATTATTCTGGGTCTGTTCCGTGCAGAAGTAACGCAACGGAAGAGATTACTGTGTACATATAAATATATAACCTGACAACATAAAAATATACAACAACAAAGATCAACAATCAACAACAAATATGTGCGAAGTGCCAGGTCTGAGCCCGACACGAGATGAAACAGAGGGTAGAGTCTGAAACAGTTTGTGTCCGGGGTGGGAGGGGTCAGCTGCAATCTTTCCTGCTCGCCTCAGAGTCCAGAAAAATAGCAGAGCTGAAATCCACAAACTGGATCCTGGTGTAGGTTCTTGGGGAGTCCAGGTGCTGGAGGATGAAGTGAAGGACCATGTTTACTACATCATCTACAGACCTGTTGGCTCTGTAGGCGAACTGCAGGGGGTCCAGGAGTCGGTCTGTGATGGATTTTAGGTGGGACAACACAAGGACTTCATAACCACAGAGGTCAGGGCGACGGGTCTGTAGTCGTTTTGTCCAGTGGTCCTTGGTTTCTTGGGGACAGGGATGATAGTGGAGGTTTTGGAGCAGGCTGGCACATGGCATGACTCCAGTGAGGTGTTAAAAATGTCTGTGAACACCGGAGACAGCTGATCAGCGCAGTGCTTCAGGATAGATGGGGAGACCGGCCAGCTGCTTTCTGCCTCCTGAAAAGACGAGAAAAGGAGAGAGGAGGGGAGGGGGTGGAGCTGGCCAGCTCTGAGGAGGGAGGCGAAGAAGTGGTGTCCTGAGGCTGAAGCTGAGTGGAGGAGTCACGGGGGATGGTGTCTGATTGACACTCAAAGCGGCAGTAGAACTGGTTCAGCTCATTTGCCAGGCGAGAATCGTTTATGGAGTGGGGGACTTTGGGTTTATAGTTTGTGATCTGTCTGAACCCCCTCCAGACAGAAGTGGCGTCATTTCCAGAGAACTGGTTCTTTAGTCTCTCTGAGTCGTTTAGCTTCTCGCACCTCCCTGCTAAACCTGTACTTTAACGCCCTGTCACCACTCCTAAATGCCTCTTCCTTTTCCAACCTTAGCTGTCTGAGTTTGGCTGTGAACCGGGGTTTGTCATTGATATAACTCACCCTGGTGCATGCTGGTATACATGTGTCCTCACAGAAGCTGATGTAGGACGTCACAGCTTCTGTAAACTCATCCAGATTGTTGGTAGCCTTCTTGAAAACATCCCAGTCAGTGCAGTCCAAACACGTCTGGAGATCCTCAACAGCTTCACTGGTCCACTTCTTTGATGTCCTCACTACAGCTTTACAGAGCTTTAGTCTTTAGGAATCAGATGGACCATCACGTGAACGCATGTATGTGCTATATATGTTGAATAAATGTTGTATGGATTCTCTTCTTGCATGACACAATGGGAGTGTTGTATGTTACACACTGGAATGTGTCTGGAGAAGAAAGATTCACACAGTATATAGCACACTGGTAAATCCTTCTTTTGGCCAGATGGTGACATTAGGACATTTCTGATGTGAGTTTGTTGTCAGAGCTGCTGAGAAGCTGACAGCAGAGTTAGAACCAGGTTAGAACAGAAGGGCGTGCAGGTTTAACTCTGGGCTGAGGGTGAATGATGAAGAGGATAACTAGGCTGCAAATAAAACATAAATATCACAAACCAAATGAAATGAACAACAGTAAATCCATCTGTGTCAGTAATCTGGATTCAAAACGTTTAATAAAGACACAGTACAGGCCTTCATTTAAATCCTGCCACCTGCTGGTAGAAAGGGGAAACAGCTTGGTTCATTACGGTGGAAACCACATTAAATATTTCTTTAATATTAAAAATATAGCGCTGACAGTAACAACTCTGCATACACAATCATTTCTTAGGTTAACCTATATTAGCCTACCAACTGTACTGCACCAAACAATGAGCTTAAAAAATGTGACTCCTGACTGCTGTTTACATGAATAAATGCAGAATATTATAGTGCATGTAATCAACTGCTGTTGCTAACATATTTCTCTGTCTCCAGGTTTATTTATTTATTTTCATCTAACGTCACCCTGGTATAACGTTAGTGCTGCATAATGTTACAGATCCAACCGTTCTAAAAGCTTTTATTTTAATATCTGTACTCTTACTTCCGGGTCACCTGGCTCATCGGTCTTTCTCCTGTTTTCAAACGGAAAATTGAAAATAGGAAATTCATAAAACCAAAATCGGACCGTTATTTGAATTTGGTTTAGTCGTTTTTCGTTTTTGGATTCAGAAACCAAAAACGGGAGAACTTTTTTTCCGTTTCTTTGCTTATGGTTTGAAATGACAAATGAAAAAAAGGTGGTTTTCTCGTTTATTGGTTCAAACGAAAAAACAAACAATCAAAACGTACACGGACCGTGCATGTTTGCGTGCGGCGAGATGTAAACACCGACCAGACTGAATGAAGCAAACTCACGGGGGAAGTAAAACGGTTTACAGTTAATGATAAGAAATTCCAGATTAGGAGAACAGTGCTGCTGAATCGCTGTCACGTTGCTACACCGGCCATTGTTAATATAAAAACAGACACCTCTGTAATGTATTGTTATGGCGCTAGGAGCGCGGTTGTAAAATACAGTCCCTGTTCTGTGTGACTCTAGCAAGCCACCATACCTCCTCTACAGTTGTTGTTCAGGAACTACAGTGCGCGGCAGCAGATTAAAGCGTTACAGTGAGCAACAGACAGGTCTCTTTCTTTTCGGTCACGGTAGCAGTATATTACATGGTGTCAGAAGTCTGGCGAACAATGCCGAAGTGTAGTCATGGCTACTCCGCAGTTTGAACACCCGAAGATTGACTGGGATGCAGCTGACTTATACCAGGAGTTTGACAGATTCAGAAGCCACGCTGAATTCGTTTTTGACGGCCCGCTGTCGGAGCTAACGGCCAAGCAGAAAGCAGGCTTGTCGTAAACGCACAGTGCACACACTTACATCTGAAGGACAGAGGACACTCGTTTGAGGACCACCAGGTGCACATTTTAGACAGAGAAGATGGATGGTTTGAAAGAGGTGTCAAGGAAGCATCTACACCAGGGTGGAGAAGCCGTCATTGAACAGGGGAGGGGGTCTACGCCACCACTTATCCCCCACTTACAATGCTGTCCTTTCATCACTTCCCAGGAAACTCAACAAACGCAACCTATTGGCCTCAGGTGAAGATACCAACGATGGTCGTTCAGTCTTGGCCACAAGTAGTCTTAACGACTGTAACGCCTGTCGTCACAGAAACAAGGAACACTAACGAACCAGCGGTATCGATGACCCGGGCCAACGACCCCACTGAGGTTAAATAGCTGAGTTTCCCTGCCAGTCAGTCAGAACTGAAGAAGTCCTTTGGATGAGGGACGAAACGTATTCCAGTAGCTTCAACCAAGTCCAGTTGCCCTTGATTTTAACCTCCGTTGGATAACTATGACCTGGATGACTGACAATCTTCATAGACAGTGCACACACTGTGTGTCGAATCAGCAGTTCAAGAGCAAACTGATGAGGACTTGCTGAACATCAGCCTGACCCAACTTGTAGCCCCTGTAAACGCATTAACTGATGACAAGTGGTCAGTATGTGTCACCATACTGTCACAGGAGGTCCCATTCAGGATAGACACAGGGGCCAAATGTAATATGCTGACACTGGACAGCTACCAACGCCTCATGCACACTGGTGAACTAAAATGCTCTCAAACTCAGCTACGCTGCTACTCCAACCACGAGCTTAAACCTGTTGCAGCAGTGGATCTGACAGTCAAGCACAAAAACCGTGACACTACTGCTGAGTTTGAGATAGCCAGGCTGGATTCTCTACAAGAGGCTGCTGAAGCAAAAAAAAGAGGTCCAGTCAAAGACAGCGCACCTCCAGAGACTGTCCCAGAGGGCCTAAGCGACTTCCCAGAACTGGTGCGTACTACAGGGATGTTGCCGGGTAAATACACAATAAAAATAGAGCCACCTGCTGCGCTTAAAGAAAAGATTGTGCAGAAACTCCAGGAGATGGCAGAAGATGGCTACATCACCAAAGTCGAGCAGCCCACCGAATGGGTTAGCTCCATGGTGGCAGTCACACGTGGAGGAAAGATAAGAATCTGCATAGATCCCAGCGATCTAAATAAAGTCATCAGGAGGGAACACTACCCCATGCACACAGTTGAGGAAGTTGTGTCATCCATGCCAGGTGCCAAAGTATTCTCTGTCCTGGATGCAAAATCTGGATAGAGCTGGAGGAAGACTCTGCGTTTCTCACCACATTCAACACACCAGTAGGCAGATTTTGGTGGCTCAGACTACCATTTGGACAGAAGTGTGCCCCAGAGATTTTCCAGCGGATTATGGATGGCATGCTGGAGGGCATAGCAGGTGCCACAGCCATTACGGACAACATTCTGATAGCAGCACCTACAGTGAAAATGCAGAAC